GCAATTCCCTTTTTCCTTGGGGGTATCAGTCATGTCTGTGCCCTGTACCAGGTGTTACAAGTGCTCTGTAACTGGTAGCAAGGCTGTGCTGGTGGCCCCAGTGTAGTTACTGTGGAAGGAGATTTATTTTATCCTCCTGATGCTAACAGTGAGATTTATTTAGAGTCCACTAAATTGAACTTTAAAGCATAAATGCTGCTTGAGACCCAGGACTGCTGTAAGGGTTATTGTTTTATATGAATGAGAGCTCTGCACAGCTAGGAGGGATTAAGAGTTTATATTGATGAGTTTATACCTTCCCTGTCAAAGAAATGAATCATTGTCTGAAATGTGGCTGAGGAAGTGCCCCAGACAAAACCTGAGGAAGGGAGGGCTCTGAAATTCTTCTGTGTAATAACACAATACTAATAAAGGCATTGGTGCTACAGCTGGGGCAGACAGAAGAGTTTTACAGGATGAGATGTGCTTTTGCCTCGTTGTTTTGACCTCTTTTTTCCCCTCCAGAGCCAGAGCAGATGAGGGAGGAGCAGCATTTCCTGGAGAGTGTGAAGGAGTTCTGCAGCCGTGCCAGGAACGACTGGCACCGTGTGTACCTGGTCAGGAGGATTGCCAGCCAGCACGGCATGGAGTTTGCCCAGAAGCTGGTCACAGAGCCACGCTTCAGCTGGGTGTTCCCAGCAGAAATCCTGCAGCAGGTAGACAAGAGGCATCTCCTGGTGGTGGTTCTGGTCCCCTCTTTGCCCTTGCTTTGTGCTGCTTTGGGGTGTTCCTGCTGTTGTGTGCTCTTGGGGTTGGGCCAGAGTGGCAGTGGCTGGGAGGTGACTTCTCCTGGCTCTCTGGTGAATGGAGATTCCCCTGGCAGCACTATGGCTGCTGCTGCTCTGGGGAGCCTGAAATGCTCTAGGGTTATAACAAACCGAAATAAATGAAATAACACAACTGTTCTCAAGGTGGAAAAGGCAAGTTTATTTTCTGACTCCAACACTTATAGCTTTCCAAAAGTGATAGTGGATTGGAGGGTGACAGTGCCACCTCTCCAATGACACTGGACAAACCAACAGTCATCAAATTTTTTCTCCTCCACAAAAGAATGCAAAACAATGAGTTATTTACAGAAAGTGCGTGAGAAAGTTCGTTACAAGAATGTCAACATCAGC